CCCCAAAACCCCAAAACCCCAAAACCCCAAAACCCCATTTAGGCTCAGATATTTGGAATTAAAACGATATTATATTTAATATGTTTGGAGGTTTAGATAGCCTCGCATTGTCACAACAAGATCAGACTCCGGATTTAGACCAGCTTAGTTTAGACTCTTTTCAGATGCAGACACAGACTCAACTGAAGCATGATGGTCAATATGATACTGATATACTCCAGCCTCCTATAGTGGCTGAATCAATTGCCAAACAAGAATGTAGTATTATACCGCATACAGTAGATAATGCTCAAGTTATTGAAGCTTTTGAAAGTAAGCAAATTTCAAAGAAACGTAAGAGGTGGTGTAAGAAAGATGATAGACTTCTTTTCAAAGTCATCTACGACCTTGAGAAACAAGGTCTGCTCACTCTTGATGAATTGACAACTCTTGATCCAAAGGATGCAAAGTATCACTTAATTGTCAGACATCTCCGACAACAGTTTGGGTGGAAGTCATTATACAAAGACTTGGTCAAGCGGATCAAAAGTCGAATCTCAGACTACTTCTCCCACAGAGACGTTAAACTGCTCAAAAAGATTCTCAAGACTCAATACGATTACACAGATCCTGACTTCGAGAAGATTTTTCTGGAGTTTCCTGGCAAGTCTTTGCAAAGAGTCACTGAGCTCACCGAGAGGATCTGTGAAAGCAAGAAGACCAAGGGGCTAAGTCTGATTGATGCCAACAACCAGAACTAGCCAAGAAATAATCATTTATGCCAAATATTCTGTTTCTAGAATAACTATATTTTAGGACAGTTTACCAATTAGGGTTTTATTATAATCTTTCGGGAATGTTTTAAAATTATAACAGCATCATTTGATAAAGACCATCTCTATCTACTTTTGATAATAAAGACAAGGAAGTCTCATTCGCATCTAGCATGACCACTTGGTTCGTCAATATGTAATGGTTTATGAAGTCTGTAAAATCGGACTTCTTGCCAACATCCAGATATTCTTTTGTTCGAATTCAAAAGCCTAATTCATATCTTAAGCTCTTTATATTTGAAGGATGACCTAAATTTGGAAATAAAGCATAGGTTAGTCTCACAAATATCTGTGTGAATTAAAGAGTAAAAGTATCATCATTTTCAAAACATTTTAGTACATTAAAGCCTTTTTATATGAGGAAGTGTTGTTTCCAAACCATAAACTTCAAGCTATTGTCTCTTCAGCAATTAAATTGAAAAGTTACCTCCTAGCCATTTTTGTGCTAAATGGTGAGCTTGATATTTTGGTGGTCTTGAGATTGAGTAGAATTAACAAAGACTAGCTATCCAATTTGGATCGTTAATTTTGGGGTTTTGGGGTTTTGGGGTTTTGGGGTTTTGGGG